TATTTAAATGGTATCCTTCTCTAGTCTTTCCCAACATTCTTGGGAGCATCCTGGGGGGGTCTCCGGGAGCTTCCAGGCCAAAAGGGATCATAGAGTCACATGTACTTGCAGTTTGAGGAAAACCTCAAGGGTGGTATTTTAACCTCCTGGTTTGAGTCATCATGCTTGTTAATAAATGTTGGTCTCAAAACAATCAGCAAAAGCTGAAAGCAAGAAAATGAATATTTAATATGAACCCAAGCACCAAACAAACACAATGCCTCAAGCCCTGCTGACATGTTTGTGGCTACCCACTTCCCATAATCTTTATTTACAGGCTCGTAAAAGGCTCATATGCTAAGAGCTTCTCATGACAGGTGCAGGAGGAGTGTGAAGATGGTAAGATTATGTTTAGTAGCTCTGCTTTGGATGGCATGAGCTAAGTTCAACCACCAATGAACTGGAGAATGTAGTGTGAACCACCGCTAGATTAGCAAGACCTTTTAGATTTCTGCCTTTACGTTTGTTGACTCTGGTAAAGATTTGGGCTTTTGAATTAAACATCAGATAGGAAGTTTGCACATACTATAGTCTTTCTTTCTTCTGGTATGAACATGTTTTGCTGGAGATTATTTGAAATAATAAAGCCATCTTAAAAACATTTTTCTTGCAAAAAAAATTAGTTTTATGTGGTTTAAAAATTCAACATTGAATAAGCTAAATTTGATATTCCACTTATTTAAGAAGGGTAAATTATGGACAATTTCGGAAACCTCCTGTTAGTCTTTTTTATACTTTCCAAAAAAATTTTGATGAGTGTTTAAACTTTTAACTTGAGTGCAAATTTCAACTTTTTTTCTTTAGAGAGAAAGTACAGAAATTTGATGATAGTCCATCTTATTTTTGTTTTTCTAATGCAGTGACAAAGTTGCAATATTTAATTAAACTAGATGGTTGCTTCTTTCTTCGTTGTATTCCCTTCCAGTCAATGTCAATGTTAAACTTACTATAAGGTGACACAGAACACTTTGTGGTTCACATCAGGACTGGAATTCAGCAGGATTATGGTTTATATTTTAGAAAATGTGATTTTTTTTTCTTTCTAAAGAAGTAATGCCAAAATTACTATCTTAAATAAAACACAGGAGCTCTTAACCCTGGACTGTGAGACTTTTGGATTTATCTGCATTAAGTTTTCAGCACATCCTCCAAGCATTTTTGAGTATTTTCTCCTGTGACTCTGATATGCCATTGCATACAGACATGGCAGGCTTCTGTAATGTCCCTGTTCCTTGTGGTATGAATTGACACATTTCTAGAAAAGGGTGCCTTTTTTACTGCAGGGCTAAAAACATCCATCATCATGTTGACATAAAAATGCCTATAAAACGTGTGGGTAGGAGATTTCCACCTGCTGCAGAGGCCGTGGAGGACAGGATGAGTTGCTAGGTGACGTTTGTCTGGGTGATTTGTATGTATGCCTGAATGTGGGGCTATAATGATGAAAGCCTGTGATAGCATTCACTGTTGTGAACCATTAGGAAAATTAAATTAGGTTTAATTTCATTTGGGTTTGAAATCAGTTCAGTTCATCCATCCATTTTTTTGTCACGCTGTATTCCAACTGGGGTCGCTGGTGCCTAGCTCCAGCTATGAGAGGCAGGGTACACCCTGGACAGGTCGCCAGTCTATCACAGGGCAACACAGAGACAAGCAACCATTCACACACAGACTCACATCTAAGGAGAATTTAGAGAAGCCAATTAACCTAAAAGATCATGTTTTTTGGACTATGGGTAAAAGCTGGAGTACCCGAAGAGAACCCATGAACATGCAAACTCCATACTGAAAGAACCAAGAAAGAACTGAGAATTGAACCAACAACCTTCTTGCTGCAAGGCAGCAGTGCTACTCACTGCACCAGCTGAGTCATTCAATTCAGTTCAATTAAATTAAATTCAATTAGGTTTGGTTCAATTCAGTTCAGGTTTGGATTCTGTCCAGTCTAGTCTAGTTCAGTTCAGTCCAAACTACAATAGCATTTAACACTATAAGCGACAGACTAACACAATTTTGAGGTAAATATAAGCAAATTTTCCTTAAAATGTACAAAGAAATTCGACCACAACATTAAAAGAGCACCCCATAGGCCCACTTTATCTGTCAAAATAAGTCAGTTTTAGGCTGAGTTATGCTTCTTTTAGAAATTCCTCACAAAAACCACCTTCTTAAAAAAACAGTGGATTTGTAGAAAACTAATCTAACCAAATATATGTATTCCTATCTTACGTGAGATAGAGAAAATCTACACTAAAGTCAACCCTTTGCAGCTCATTCTTGTTTTCCCCTGCACAAACTGAAAGTTGTATATCTGAAAGAAAGACTGACACGCCTACCTGTATGTGGCTGTAACATCTTAACAGAACTGTACACTTGTGCTGTTAAATTAAACTTCTGTTAGCCATAGATGTCACTCGTGTGCTCTGCCAGGCAGTAGGATTAGGTTTCCTAATTCCATTGGCACCAGGTGTGACAATGCTGTAGAAACATGACTCTGGAGCACAGAGAACAGCAGCATGTGTTCCTGCAGAACTTGATGGATGAAGCATGGGTTTCCTGCCAAGATTGACATGTTTAACTTGTGCAGCAGCTACGCTTTTAAACTTCGGTGTGGTAAACACAGCTGCCCAACAGGAAATTAAATAATGAGAGTTTCTTTTGCTATTTTTCTGTTATTTTTTTTCCAAACAAAACAGCTAATTATTCCCCTGAGATTCCTGAGCAACGTCCAAATGAAACTCCACTAAATCCTGCACTCAGTGTTTGGTTTCCATGCAGCTTTTAGCTCTCTGTTGCTGCCTTGACTCTACTCTCACTCCTCTTCATTAAGCCTTGACTGTTAATAAACAATGGGATTTAGTGGATAATGTAGGCCAACACACTGGTGTTAAACAGGAGCAGGACAGTCCCTCAGGGCTGGAGACTGATCACTGGCATAATTATTGCAGTCATTGAGTCAGATGGCATGAAGAAAAGCTTCTGTTGTTCAATTAAACAATGTGGAAGCACATTTCATCTCATGCAGTTAACAACCACCTCTTGTATAGCATCCTATGCTGAATTCTTTCCTCTATCAAGAGGAACTGTTCTGCTTGTTCTATTTCTATCCCTCTGTGGACACTAGATAATTGTCATGGAGCACAATGATTATAACAGGGATTCACTTGGGGGGATGAGGGTAAAAATGAAAGATAGAAAACGACAGCTAATTAGTTTGAAGGAGCGTGAGGCCGATTGTTAAAGCTCAAGTAAAAAAAGCGTGAAACAATAAGCGAAGACGGAGACAAATGAGAGAGAAACCTGGTCTAAAGCTGTGAATCAGGGTGGAGTTTGTTTCTAGACGGTCCTCATCATGGCTTTACCCTCTGCCTCTCTGCTCTTCCTTTTTTGGTGTTCTTGTCAGCAGCTCACCTATACACATGATGAGCCACTGGACGGAAAAAAAAGTAAATCATAGCAAAAGTCAAACAAAACAATAAATTAATGAGACACAGAGAAAGCTACATTATGTTAAAATGACCTCAAATTCTTTTTTTTTTTCTAATAACAAAGACTTTATTTTTCGGTATTGAACACTTAATGTGCATAGCTTCCGTGTGTATGGATCCCACCTCTATAAATACATGCTGAACACACTTAGGCGTTGCATAAACTCAGCTGACATTCCTGACGCCTGGCTGGATCAGTTTTTCCATCGACCCCGCTGGACAACAGACACAGCTGCCCCCCCTCCACCCCCATAGCTTCACCGACCTCTCTGCCTAATTCTGTGAGCTCATATGTGCGTGCACATGCTTTCACCTTGGCAATGCTAAAAACCTTTTTTTTAGTTTATAAATACCTCTGGTAAAAAGGCAAAAATAATGGAGGCTCTGAGGCATAATGGGGGTCATGACTGAATAAATTTGAAACCACTTTAATTGCTTTGAAGTCAAAAAGCTGAAATGCTAAATATTTTGGGGCCCAAAGTAGCATCTCATAATCCTGTGCTTTTCCAATGTCGATTTTGATTTATAACAGATATCAACAGTAATTGGGCTTAAACCTTAACAGTTTCTGCAGTTTTTATAGAAGTTTTTATGTTGTATGAAAAGCTGTGTGCGAAAAACAAAAGAAAAAAATGCTGATTTATACTGAAAAAAAGATACACAAATGAAAATCTCCATCATCTGACTGCATGTGTGGATTTGTAGGAAGAATGACTGTGCGTATCTAAACACAGATTTCCTGATATGGGAGAACAGCATTCCTCTTCATTCCTACAATTCACTGGAGGACCCGACATGATGTCACTCAACGTTCTCATGAGAGGACCAAAAGTCTCTGTGTTTTAACAAAGAGAAAAAAAGAGGCTTCCCCTCTTTATTGTAGCAGTTACCATTGTTAAAAATATGTCCTCAAAGAGGCTGAAATTGTACATATATGCTGCTGACTGTTTAAAACTGTATATGAGAGTGTTTATTCTGGCCAGAACTAAGGTTTAAGGCGGGATAGAGAAGGAATAGTAGGGAATTAAATACAGGATATAAATAAAAATTTATCTATATTTATTTTATAATTACTTTTTAAATCAGATTTTTGAAATTAAAAAGTGTAAAAAAGCCTCTAGTGCAAGAGAAACTGTGAGAGCGAGAGAGAGAAAGAGCAAAGGAACTAAACCAAGTGCTGAGAGAGAGCTTGTGACGTGGGGAATACTGGGAGACAAAGGAAGGATGATGAGGAAAAGGAGAATGGGAGAAAGGATAAAAGGGAGTTAGGGGAAAAAGGTTAAAAGCATTGAGAGTAAAGGAAACCAACAGAGAAAGAGAATGGGAGAGAGAGAGTGAGATGGGGGAAGTAAAGGGGGAGGGAGAAAACCAACGTCCCAGATTCCCAGGCCGTTTAATAGGGAGTAAAACCAAACTGAGCTTATAATGTAGTCTGGCTGTGCAGAGGGCAAAGTGAAAGCATGAGTGCATGTTTTGTGTGTGTGAGAGCGACAAAAGGGGGAAAGAGTCATGGTTAACCATGAGTGCATGTTGCCACTCCGTGTCTACATGTGGGGTTTGTATGCAGACAACATATGTGGCCCAGTGTGTGGAGATGTACATGTAAGGGAAAAACAGTTTTCCCTGAGTGGACATGCTGCAGCCTGCACGTTGACTGGACTCCATTCATTTTGTTGCTTTTTCTTCGCTTTGGATTAATCTCAACCACTGCTTTTATTTTACTTTTTTTAAATGAAAGAGTTCAAAGTGATTTTTAGTTTTGTTCAGAGATTAATCTTCTTCTGATGTACGCCCCCTCCTCCATTTCATTCAGCGCTGAGTGGGCGAGGGCCCTACCTGGATTACTGAGAGCTTAGATGTTTGTGGGGGGCGCTAACAGGAGAAGGGAGAGACTGAAAGAGAAGATAAAGTGACAAAGAGAACTTGAAGATGTACCTGTACAAAGCAACATGCTCGGAGATCCCCAACCCAAAGCAGAAGAGTTCCAGGGGTCAAGGTGGAGTTGGGATCCCGGTGCAGGGCTTATGTCAGGGGAGACTGATCAAGCAAGTGTCCATGGGGCCCGGGTCACAGTCTTATGCCCCTGTGATGCTGTGGACTGCAAACAGGGCAAACAACGTAAGGCAACTCAAACAACTGGAGGAGTTCCTCAACTTCCACTCATTGTCTTTGCAGGATACAGTGAGGAGTCAGACTGGCATGGTCTACAGGTAACCTTCCCTTGCATTTCCTTATTAATTTATTTCTACTATTACACTCGAGGTTAGGTGTCTGGACCAGAGGATGCTCAAAATTGATCTAAATCTAAACTAAATGGATTTAAATAAACACTCAAGCATTCACAGAAAAAGTGTGGAAGAATTAAATATATAAAAATAAAAAATGTAAGAAGAAAAAGGAAAAAAATCTGCAAACATACTTTATGGGTCTACTATACAGACATTTAAACATTTCTATGCTTTTCATCTCATCATGATTCATAATGAACATTTTTAGAGAAAGAAAATAGACTATGAATTGTTTTTTTTTTTCTGCGCTAAGCTGTTGACACAGACTTGAGCTGTATGCATTTCATGATATATAAATAGAAAGTAGCAATATTTTGCATTATATGCTCTATATATTTGCCTGTTGATAGTTGTTCCTGATCGACTGTAATCAGAATGTTAACACGCTTGTTGGATTACAGGGCTAATTTGCCTTCTTAACTGCTAAGGGGAAATAATAAATGGTGATCGTGTTTCTGTTTCCACGGATGTTCTGTTCTAGTTGCAGAGTTTGTAATTTTTGTGAGCAGGCATCATGTTGCCAGTGAGTGGTTTGAGTGAGTGTGACTGGGACACTGTGGGTCGCTGCTCAGCCCGCAGGCTGCATTTACATACCGCCTTGTTGACAATGAATTGCCTTTGGTAGGATGGGAACAAAGTTGCGCAGAAGAAGGGATTTTATATTTTATGATTGCCTGTAAATAATTTTTTCTGCATTAAAAAAGCGACAGAAGCAGAAGAAGAAAAAAGTTTGAAGTAATTTTTTTTTAATTTTTTTTATTCACCTGCAGAAACAATGCACTTGCATTGAAAGGCTGCTGTGCTAAACATGTGCATCAGAGTTTTATATTCGGAGTCGCTGCTGGCTTAACTTTTCCATGACTGACAGCATTTGGTTTTGGTCATTTGAACAGTCCTTTTATCCCCCTCGGCTTTCTCTCAATTCTCTGCTCAGTTCTGCCGACATTCTTTAACATATTACAGTTGGTGTAATAATAATAACGTGATCTAAACTTATTCTGTGGCTGTGCTGGCCTTAAAAAAACTTGCAGCTGTTAGGGTCATTGAGCAAGAAAATCCTATGCTAGACCAACCTGGCTATGGGAGCCTATGCTTCCCTGATTTTACAGCAGGAACTCACTAAATGTGTTTCCATAAACTTTCTGTCTAAACATTTGCTACTGTTACTACAGCAGACTAATAAAGCAGCTGCCTGACATAAATACTTAAGGATCATCAGTAAAACCTCTGTAGGACATATTGTAGATTCACACTAGGAATACAAAAGATCATTTATATGCAATAAAGTAACTTTTCCACAGATAAATCTTAATTATAGACAAAAAACATGACATTTTATAATATTTCCCTGCCCTGTCAAAACATTGTCGATGTAGTCCTGGATGTAAGCTATTTAATTAGTCTGGTTATTTGCTCAGGCAATTAGCCTGCAGTCTAATGCATACGTGTTGCATCTATTGATTTGAACCACAAACATTATTTAAACAACAGTGATGCTTCTCTTTTATTAGATTCCAAACGATTGTCATCCTTTCAAGGTCTATACAGGCCAGATTAGGGATTAATATTGCTTCCACCTTAATCTAGGTTTGTCCCGGTGTCTTCTTAGAGTCAGATGATCCAAAGGGAAAAATTGTCATCCAAATTTGTTCTTCCAGCCTGCTAATTGTAGTCTTAGCCATCCCAGGTAGGATGTGCGGCCCTGTGGTAACTTGAAATAAGTGAGGCCCTTTGATATGGATGGTTAGTTGTGCAAAATTAAAGGCTGATTTCCCATACGAGTGCTGCGCGGCTAGAAATGTCCACATCCCGCACCTAGCAAAACATGTATCTCAGTGGAAATATCACCATGATCAACCCTTGGAAATAAATTACTGACAATGTTTCATGAAATGAAGAGACGTTTAAAATGTTGGACACAACCGTTTTTTTTCTACTTGTACTTGTGGTGTAGTGTTCCCAGAACATTAAGTAAGGGAATAAAATGCTGCGAAAAATGTATCGCCAACGTTCCACATGTAGATGCATCAAGCTTAAATCAGGCTTAATAGTCAAACGAACTAAATAGATTATCCCACTGGTAATACATTTATACCAAGTAGAATAATACAGCATAGACCAGTTAATAACTTGTGGCAATCTATTTAAAAAAAAGGCATAAAACAACAACAGTGCACCAAACAGCTTGATACGAAGTCAGCTTAGTAACTTTTTTTTGCATCTTAACGTCTCTTTCATGGTTAGCTTAGAACCATTTTCATTCTCATTATATCTTTACACAACATATCCACTCTAAAGTATGAAACCAAACAAATTCACAGAAACAAATAAAAGTCAGCTTTCTCTTTCTTTTCGGTTTTGTTTCTTTCTCAGAAGCCAATTGGTGCTTGCTAAATTGGTCGTGTTCTCCTATGTCTGCTTCCATTCTCTACCTCCATCAGGGAGGTGTAATGTAATAATTTTTGTGCGTTTTTTGTCCGTTTCCTTGATAGAAACGGACACAATCATGTATAACTATTGCATTTATTAAAAAAAAAAAGGAAATAACTTGCAGGAGTGAGGCCCCTTAGTTACTCAAGAATCTGTGTGGCCGTACAGTTTGCACAACCCATGCCATGCCTCTGAGAGTCGCACCCAGCAACATATGGACTATCACTTTGAGATTTGAAATCAAATGTAAAGTGCATTATAAATAAAATTCATTATTATTTATTATTATTATATGGAGGGTGGGGGAGTACAACACTTGTTTTGAAATAGCCAGAAAAACAACAAAACCACATTGAGTTTAAGTGTAACTCACCTGATGTAAATGCATAACCCCACCCTCAGACATGTTTTGAAAAATGTCACCAAAGTGGTCAGTGCTAGAAGCCCCTGAGGAGCAGGGCTAAATGTAAGCATGAGCAGTAGGGGTTAGGTTTGGGTGTGGTCAGGATGAGGGAAAGTAGCAGCTGCCTTAATTTGACATTTTCAAGCAGAGAGGGATGAAGCTTAAGCATAAATTCAATCTATAAGACTCTTATCAGCTTCACCTGAACCACCAATGATGTCTCCTGTTTAGGTCCAATCAATCAACTTGTAGGTCGCACCTTCTCCAAAGCCAATCATCTTCTAAGATCCCCTTCATTTAGCTCCTGGCATAGCTTCCCTCTCCCACTCTGTCTCTGTCCCACTCACCCTCTGGCGTTTTCCACCACCAGTGTCTGTGCCCCATGGGAAGACTACTGTAATCCTTTTCTAGGTTACTCATCCAAGCGTACGTTGGTTCACAGCATCAAAATCTTCTGCTGGGGGCCGAGTGCCAAAGAACATATTTCGTTTATGTCTTTATCTGCTTTTATCTCCTTGGCATCTGCCGTGGGCCACGGCAGATGCCTGCTCACACTTAGCCTGGTTCTGCTGGAGCTACTTCCTGTTAAAAGGGAGTTTTCCTTTCCACTGTTTCTACAAGCATGCTCAGTGCAAGGAGATAAAGAGAGTCAATGAGTTCTCGCAATCAACTGGTTTTCCTTAGAAATATGATAGAAAGAATATGATTGTCTCACCTGTATAAATAAATTGAATATTTTCCAGTTGCTCTGTGTGAGTCTCTCCCAGTTGGATGATGCTGATAGTTACATCAGTGATAGACTTTTTGAGCTGGAGGGTTTTCCAGCTCAAAAGAGAAGAGATGGATCTAAAAGTTGGAAGATGGGAGTTCAGGGGGAAAGGACTGGGGATCTCTTGACTACCCATAAAATGGTTAACATGCAAATATTATTGATTTGCACAAAAATAGCACAACCCATGGGTCCATTTAATTTTCTGAAAAAGGAAAATTTTGGGGGTGATATTATGACATGATAAGAATGTCAACAAAGTTTAACATTTCAAAACCAAAGGCCGGCTTAATTTCTTTCACCTAAACCTCACCTAAAATCTGGAAGAAGTATATCAAAAACATTCCTTTTAGATATGATCTGTTTGTCATGTTTTCTTACTTTTTGGAAACAGATTGAAGCAAATAAAATAAAAAAGCAAACATCATCAAGTTTTTTGCTATTTTGCCCAATTATTAAATTGACCCAGAATTAGAGATGCTCCTTTTTATACATCTTAAGGCTGTGAAATAGCCATCCTGTTTTAAAGAGAGTAAATGAAGCATTCTTCCTCCGCTCGTTCACTTTATGAATAGCAATGGTGCTATAAACTGTCATGACACTTGGCTGTTGTTCAGTTCAGAGCATATGGATTAAATTTATCCTGGGGGCTCATAGATGCACTGTTTCCACTAATTATCAAAGCACGAGGACCAGATACTGTTTCTGGTTGCAGTTCTCAGTGAAGCGTGTTAGGTAAGCTTTTTACCAGAAAGTGTTTATAAAAAAAAAAGGCTCATAAATGGATTTTGACAGTCAATTAGTGACTACACTGTATCTAAACACTCCGCAAAGTTGACTGCATCAATAACACTGCTGTTTCAGTTTCCCGTGACATTTTATGGTGGTATTTTTGCTTTAAAAAGCTTGTGGCGTAATGTCTGATGTGCTCTATTTTCCTGAGGAAAATCAGGTTTTTCAGTAAAAGGGTCGCTTTAAAAGAACCTTGCACATCCCTTTTTAACCCAAATGTCATTGTTGCCAAAGCACTCAGCTGATTTTTTCGATTACTTTCCCTGATTACTTTGACAATGATTTGTTATTGCTGGATAATGAGGGCAGTGTGGAAAGGCGGTAGGAAGTGAAGTGGCATATCGGCCTCTAGGGGGCAGACAGGCATATTATGAGACATGTTCAGTAATTTTGGATGTATTAATGTGAGCATATGTCACAGGACGTGGGAGCTGTGCACTCCCTGTGAGGGCTCCTAAAGTGAGTATGTTGAGACTGAAATAATGTGCCAAAATTATATGTGATTGAAATTTACAGGAATGAAATCCA